AATGAAAGACTGGGGGGGGGGGGGTACCTGGCAGCATGACCCCAGTAACCAAAAAAACTGGACGCATGTTGGCCCTCCCATGCTTTATGCCCAGCTAGCTGTGCAGCGAGTTTACTGGCTCTTCTTCTTGCAATCCAANNTCCAAAGACCCCTGAAAGGGGTCTCTAGAGAACCCAAGGATGGAAAACAGGAAGGTAGCTTGAGTCGTTCTGAGGAACTGACGTATGCTCTTGGAAGGCCTCACAGCTGGGCTAAGCCATCGCCATCGGGACGTGATGAAGCAGTCAAAAATCTGTAGGCGTTTGGCGAGCCCTACCGAATGCTGACGAAGGATCCTGTAATACGCCCAAAAGGCGTGGGAAACCTTGGTCATCCTGGCAGCAAGAACGGCATTGCAAGAAAGCTGGAAGCCCACGAGGATGCCTAGAAAAACAAAACTCTGTGTCCACTGTACTTCCGTCCCACATGAAGTCAGCAGAAGTTTCGGAAGACCTGGTGTCTGGATGTACTTGCACTTCCGCCAATTCATTTTCAGTCCGATTGTTCCTAAAGACCTGACTGTGTCCTGGAGAAGTCGGACTGCTTGTTCTCGTGATGTGGCGAGGAGAACCAAATCATCGGCAAACGGTGTCAAGAAGAGTTTTCCTCCCCCCTGTGTCTGTAACCATGTGTCTTCACGCTGTTGCCACTCCTTGTTCGTGAAGGACATGTAGAAATCAACACAGCGAGCAAAGAGCTCTGCGCTATAACTACTGCCCTGCAGAACACCTTGCCGAAGCGGCTGATCCCAACTTGTGCCCTGAAGCCCTAGGCCTACCCGGCTGTTGCAAATGACGTCAAGTAGGACCTCAGCTTCACGACTCCCTTGCGCCTGCGCCAAAAAGGAAGCAAGGGATTCGTGCGACAACGAGTCAAAGGCCGCCGCCATTTGATGATGAACCAAGGTTTACCATACTGTTCTGAAAGGCGAATGGCTTGTTGCACGGCACATGCTGCATCAAGGATCTGTCTTTGGGGTACTCCTCCTACCTGAAAGGCACCAATGTCGGGTAGTCTCGGCCGCAAGCGTAGCATCAGTGCCTTGGTAAACACCTTGGCAACTGTTGATGACAATACAATGGGCCTGAGATCTGCAGGTGTTTGGGGGGTCGCTGTTTTCGGCAGGAAGCAGACATGACTGTGCAGCCAACCTCGTGGAATAGGCAGTAGTCCTTGTAGAACCCCATTATACATGTCCAAGACATGATCGGCAAGCTCTGATTGCAAAAGCATCTGCAAAGCTTCGTAGGAAATCCCGTCAGCTCCCGTACTCTTGTTATGCTTGCACATGAAGGCAACGTCTCGAATCTCCTCGAGCGAGAAGGGGACTGGGTTCAGGATCGGTCCCGCCCTAGCATGAAAGATTGCACGGGGAAGTCCCGACGGTGTGGGATCCTGGGGTGTGTACTTGCGCTGGTAGAAGGCGCGCAGGTCAGCGATAGCTTTGCTGCGGCCACCTGCCCGAATACAGTAGGAGCCTTGTGTATACATGGCTGTGTTGCGTTTCTTAAAATACGCAATGGCACGAAAGTCTCCTCCTGCACTCTTCTCGAGCAGGGCTGCAAGCCACTCCTTCTTGGCTTTCTTGCGCGTGTCAGCAATTTGTTTGGCTAGGTCCCGAGCTTCGCGTCCTCGCAATCGTTTTCGTTGTGCAATGAGGTCTTTGATCTCTGCCGTGTCAACGAAGCGACAGCTGGTTACTCTACGGGAACAAGATTGACACAGAGAAGCCAAGTCGTGCATACTCATGTCAGACATAGACAGTTCAAGTTGTTCGGCAAGGGCACTGGCTTTCTGCATGAGCTGAGGGCCTTGTGTCCACCATTTCCCGCATTTGGAGTTCTGAAAGGCTCCCCTGCCTATAGAAGGCAGAGACTGCAAACTAACACTGATAGCACAATGATCCGAACCAACAATTGTGTCCGAGCCCTCAATCACACGATCATCCCAAAAGGTCATGGACGGCAAAGCAAAAAGGATGAAATCAATCCTGGATGAAGCACCGCTTGTGTTGCTCCATGTAGGCTCTTGTGGTCTCGTAAACTCCAGGCCAAGAGTCCTGAGGAGCTGGCCCAGAGGTACCCCTCTTTCGTCAACGTTGACGATGTCGAGGACGTCGTAATTTAGATCGCAGCAGAAAGCAATTTCGTCATGATACCGCTTACCCCTGCAAAAACCAAGCAGTTCTTCAACTTGTTGCTGCCACACCTGTAAACAGTCCTCACGAAGTTTGTATGGCAAGTGAATTGATGCAAAGTACTGGCGTATGCCTTGGTCCTTCAAAATCAGCCCAATCCCGGTACAAAAGGTGGTTGTCCTCTCGACTTTACCTAGCCAGGACGTGGGGATACCAAGTGCCGAGCCTCGGAAAGCGTGTGAAGTGTCCGCATAGAAAAAGGTATAAGACCGCCCTGCAAGGGTGACCTCAGTGTGTAGTACAATGTCGTGTGAGGGACACCTTTCCGGAAGTCCCCCCAGCTCCTGCAAACCAATTACATGCGTGCCAGTGAAGCCCAGAAGATCCCAGATTCTAGAAACATCGTCCAGGCTTTTGCCGCGAAGATTCCACGACACCACGTGGACTGGATTGCCCCTGGGCCTCTTCTTGACCTGTCAAGCTCCAACCCCAAAGGGGGTGGCATCAGGGCCAAAATCGGCCCACATCTGTTGCAGCTCCTCTTTGGGTTTCCCAGTGACCTGAGAAAAAGCTTCCGAACATAAGAACCAAACCGTATGATTCCCCCGAGCATCTTCGATGACCTGATCGTTGGCAGTGGGCTCTTGTCCGTTATCCATGTTCTTGAGCATTCTCCGCTGTCCGACAAACACTTGTCCCCGCCAGACAATTTCTGGGGGGGGTCGGCATTGTGCCGGTTCGGTGGGCTGAGGTAGTTTCTCGTAAAAATCTTAGTCAGAACAAGAGCTCTGATACGAATACGTTCCTCAATGGAGCGGTCCTTGGTAACCCACAGAGTGCAGTGGTCTTGGCCCTCAATGCCACTCTTGCTCTTCATTTGTTTGAGTTTGTCAAGCACTCTGGTTTGAAGCTGTCGCTTGCGTACTAGCTCCTGGATTCCCTGAAAATTCAGGGTCACCCTCAAGAAATTGGTTCTACCAGCCGGACCAGACATGCTTGCTAGATGGTTGCTCATCCCAGCGGCCTCAAACAAATTCCTGACTTCTTGTTCAGCCTCAGAAACTCCAGCATCAGACCATCCCCCGACCACCAAGCAAAGATCTTGTTCTGGGTCACGTGGGGTCTCGTTGGGGAAAGCACCAGGGTTGCTTCGGGGGCTGCGCGGGCTAGCGTTGCCAAGTCGGCTGCCTCGGGGAGTGTCTGGGGCTCTCGGTGGGGTGATAGATCTGGATTTGCGATCAAGTTCAACGACTGCTTTCTCGAGTGCAGTAATACGATCAAGGGCTGCTTCGTGGTTATCAAGTTGTTCTTTAGCCGTGGCTTCAAGATGTGCAATACGGGTATCATGTTGTGCCACACTGCTACCTAACTGGACACAGTACTCGTGGGTGCGGTCACTCTTTAGATGCAGTCCGTTGAGGGACTCAGTAAGCCCTTTAAGCCACTCTGGGGTTTCCTGGCCTGAGAGGCGGGGTACAGCTGCGAAAACACCTGGGTGGTTCTGTTGTCCTTGCTGCGGGGCCGCTTCTCTTAGGGAAGCGTTGGCACCAGTTTGGACCTCGGTGCATGCTTTGAGCTCATCGTCGTCATCTTGGGTCAGGTCAAAAACCTGATGGGCGTTAGAGGTCTCGTGCGGGCCTGGTGCTTCCATAGGGGAGTCTTCTTGTGTTGCTGATTCCTTTGGCTCGAGCTTGATCTTCTTCGCTTCGGGAGCTTGTTTGTGAATATCGGTATCTGGCGAATCTACCCGTTGTTGAGGTTTCTGTTCGAGGATCTGATGGTGATTGGAGACAGGCGGAAGTTGAGTTCGAGGTGCTTCGGTAGGTGGGGGGGGGGTTGAGTGGGAGGTGCACGATCGTCAGGCTTGGGCTTGCGTTCACGAGTACGGCCTCGCTCCATGACTCAAGTGTCAAGGACAGGACAGAGACAACGCAATCACAGTGCAAGCAAGGTCAAAATCAGTGCAGGGCAAGGAAACAGTGCGGACCGAAGGAAGGTCAACAGCGCAAAGGAAGGCAGTGCAGGGCAAGTGTCGGGGAGAAAGGGGGGCAGAGAGCAGAAGACAGGAGGAGGAGGGGAGATGTGAGAGAGAAAACCCAGCTGAGATCCCACGTGTGTAGATACCGTCTCTGTTTCCTCACAAGGCTTGAGCCAAAATGGCTTGAGCCGTAGCCATTTTGTATATATATATATATATGTACGTATGTATATGTATGTATGTTGGGGTTTTTTGATTCCATGGAATGTCGGTGGTTCTGGGATGTTTTTAGGGTTTGGGATGTTGCAAGATGTGATGTTGAGGCTGTGGGGATTGCTGTATAGCAAGGCTGGCAATGGCCCGACTGCCCAGCCCGGGTATCCTACACCGACCCTGTGGCCCGAACCCGTGAGTGTAACATGGGGCCTCAAAAATTGGAGTAGGCTTTTACCAACAAGGGGTATCGCAGAGTGCAAGCTGCTAGAAGGAAGAAATTGCTTCAGGTGCTCGGTAAAGGCGCCTTATTTAACAGCTTTATAACCCTGACTACCCGCGACCGCTCGAGCGCCGTCAACAGGTCAGGGTGTTAGATTGTGTTGAGTTTCGGCCACTGCGCTGCGGATACTTTACTCTTGGTTCTCAGACATTCTTACGATCTTAGGAGTACCAAAGCCCAAAGCAGGTTGACCTTTCAATGGTTGATTTAAGTACACCAACAGTTAAAGCTTACCTGCCCAGTCCTTGAGGGATTGTTTGGGCTTGGGGCCTCTTCTTGGCTCAATTTTGAAGGTTTAGCTGGGGGGTCGTGAGGGTCGAGCGAGGGCTGGTGTGTTGTAAATTTGGCTTCCGGCTCAGCCACCCAAAGCCCAAACCCTCAACCCAACCCCCTCCCTCAGACCTACACCCCCTGAACTCTGAATATCCATAAGGCCTACACCCGTGCCCACACACACATACACACACTCACACTCACACTTCCCCTCTCTTGCCTCGGCGCTTAGCCGATGCAGAGGCCATGGCTAAATGAGTCAGACCACCAAGGTGTGGACATTAGCTGCAGATTTGGTTGAGGGTGGGGTAAGGGTCTAGTGGTCTAGCAAGAATTTGGGAGTTTAGGGTTCGGGGTTGAAGGTGTAAGGTTCAGGTTCAGGGGTTAGGCTGCAGCGATTTGGAAGCCAGGATAAGGGTGGAAGGGACCCTCTCAGAATATGTTTGAATCATAATAAATGATTCGAGAAATCCTCCAATTCAGGGCGACGCGGGTTCTTGGGTCAAAGCGTGCTTTAAAACAATCCTAAACCCTAAACCCTCAACTGCCCTGAACCCTAAACCTTACGGAGACTTGTGGAGACCCTGTAGGTCACACCCACCAAGCCCTCCAGCTATTTAGGGTTTAGGGATTATATAGGGTTTAGGGATATTTAGGGTTTAGGGTTTAGGGTTTAGGGATATATTCAACAGCCCGGCGCTCGCTGCTTTCGCGTGCCCGGGGCAGGCGCTCGGAAGACGGCGGGCGACGCGCATCAAAACACTTCGAGCGACTGGGGTAGGGCTTTGAGGGTTTAGGGATTTGCCTGTTCGACTGTGTTGCACCATTATTTTACCGACTTTTTGGGGGCAGTCCCTGCTGAACCCCCATGCAAGCTTTTCCTCGATCTATACACACCCATACATTCATACATAAGTTTTCTAAAACCCGAAGCCGCAGACACCCAAGAAATCACCGGAAGCTCGACAAACTTGAGTTGCCCGAAGACCATGCAAAATGTCTTACAACAAGGCTCGCCAACCCCTCCAAGCCCCTGCGCAGGCTAAGAACACGTTCCGGGTCGGAAGAGCCGTGTCTCTCTGGGAACATCAAGCAGTAAACCTCAGGCTACACATAAGCTCGGACATTTCATCCCGAACCAGGCCCTAAATCGCGAAATCCATCCGTACAGTAACCACGTCGCAGCAAGCCACGAAGATCCTCATTCAAATCCTTAAAAACCCGGAAACTCACATATTGGCTTCGATTGGGTAACCCCCCATCCCCAACGGCACCCCTAACCTCAAAACCTGAACTTTTAATATTGCTTACACACCAAAGACCGTTGTCATTGAACTCTTAATCTCTAGGATTTGGAAATTCAATATAGGATTATTGTGTCCCAATCTGAAACCCAACATCCAAACATCCGTAAGGCGGAACCCATAATCCGAAAACGCAAGAACACTGAACCTACACTGGAAGCCCTAAATCAATCCCCCCGCCACAACCAGTCAGCACGCATTGAACCCTATTCCCTAAACCCTGAACCCTGGATTGAACCCTAATCCTGAACCCAAAGCCTAAACCCTAAACAGTCCATCTTGCCCTTGACGGCCATGGTGACTGCCTCGGGACGACTGAGCTTCTAGGCTTGGGCCGCAAGGAGCCAGGAGGGGAGATGGATACTCTTTCAAGCCCTACTCTCTCAACTTCTTTATCCTAAAGTTGCAGAGTTCCAGCCGCGAGAAACCTACCTGAACCTGAAAACCCTTACTTTTGGGGTTCCGTGTAACATTTATTGTGTTTTCCCAACATTGGGCAGGTAATCCAAAATCCGGAACCCCAACGAGCAAAGCGGGTTTCGGAGAGGATTTAATTTGGAGGTAGCGGAAACAAACCCTAACCCCAAACCCACGACCCACTGACAGCTGAGGCATTTGGGGCTCAGAGACCCTAAACCCCAGGATACAGGGGTTTCGGGTTTAGGACACTAGTTTTTTCTTTGGGTTTGTGGTTTAGATAAGAAGTTGACTAAAAACACAAAACCTTGGACAAATATAAAAGCCTAAATGGGTGTATATCATACTTGTAATTTCAGTAGTTCAGGGAGCCCCAAAGAACGCATTTCAGGCTTAAGATTGCTTGTGGTTTGTAACTGAGGGATTCATGGTTTTAACGGCTTAGGAAATTTGTATTAGTTGAGCATATGGGGGTTTCCGAAAATAGGGGACACTAATATAGTACCCCCCAATAGTCGGATCCTTATTATAAGGACCCCAAATGAAGGTACCCTAATTTTTGGAAAGTCCCATATAGAATTCAGCAGAAGTCTACGGTCCTAGGACTAAATTGGCTGGCACATGGCTCCGAGATCATCTTGCATCAACCAAAGCAAAGATGTAACAGTGTCCAGCCACAGCTGCGAAATAGAAAGCCCGCGACCCCCTTCAAGTTGGAATAGCCAGAGAAACCTACTAGAGAGCGGCCAGATCGCGAAAGCGTCCGCATGCGAAACACAAGCTCATAGCAACAGCAGCCTTGCCAACCCGCAGAAGGGTCAAAGAACGCGAAGATCTTGTGCCAAATCTCTGCTCCGTTTGGAGAGATAAGCCCCGGAACTGCGATGCTAGCTGCCTATTAAGGGGCTAATTATTATTACTACTTTTGAGACCTCCTGAAACCCTGGAGCCCTTCCAAACCTTCGTCCTGAAACCTTAGCCCCCAATCCTGAAACTTCAGCATGTAGACTAGAGTGTGTGGGGCTTTGGGTTGAGGGCTTGAGGTTTAGCATTCAGGGTCTGTCGGGAGTACAAGGGCTAAGGGAATAGGGCCTATCTCACAGTGGACTCCAAGGCCGCGTCTGTTGCATGTTCTGCGGCATTGCCCACAATGGGAAGGAGGATGACCCCTATGAAGGCCTTGCGGAAGCTTGTGAGAGCTTG